TCGCGGCGGAGCGGCGCTGGAACCGTCCATCGCGAGCCCGCGGCGCGGCTTCCTACTGGGGCGCCCCATGCTCGACGACATCATCGGCATCGAGCAGTGCGCGGTCGCGACGAGCCTGGAGTTAGCCGGGGGGGCTGCCATCTTTTTCGATTCCGCGGCGGCTTTCGCGTCCGCGGAGCAGCAGGTCTTGCCGGCGTCGTTCGGCGGCCCGGGCTGGCCGGGCTGGTCATTTGTTTTAATTTCGGGCCGCTGCCGGGAGAGCGCGCGCCAGACCCGCGTCGGCGGCGCGCGTTTCTTTTGTTTCTTTGGACGCGCGGCGCTGGGCAGGGGCGCTCCTTCCACCGGCTGCTTTTCGCGGCGTGCCCCGACTTCCTCGTGCGAAAACTGGCCAGGGACTTCCCGTGCCTTGTTCAAATGGCTTTCGCCCACGACCTCGCCATGGTGCTTGCGCGGTCGATCTGGGCTGGAGTTAGGAAGATTGCAGCTCGCGTTCGACGAGTTCGCGCCCGTCGTGTCCGGGCTCGCCTCGAGCGCGCCCAGGCTGGGCCAGCGCGCCGATCGTGGACGCGGCCAAGTACCGTGCAATGCGCCGCGGGCCGGAGAAGGGGACTCGGTCCTGGGGCGAACCCGCGGCCAAGTTTCTTGCTCGTGCCGCCAAGTGGGTGCGAGCTGGAGTTGGCTTGCTGCCTGCGTTGCAGGCGCGCAAGGGATGCGTCGACTCGGTCATGCTCTTCGTTGGTCAGCTGAGCACCCGCCCAGCGAGATCCTGGATTGCGAAGTCCGAGCCTGCCGGAAACTGTTCCCAGGGCCGCGGGATTGGGCGCCGAAGGACGTTTTCACGGAGATTTGTCTATCACCCCACCCATGCAACGCTTGTCACGGGCGGTCAGCCCCCTTTGCAATGGTAACGATCGCGCGGCGGGCGGCGGCGCGAACCCCACCCCCCCTGTGCGGGCGACTGTCGCGGCGTACACATCGGAGGCGTCCACAGGCGCGGTTGTGCACGCAGGCGGTGTGGTCTACACCCGCGTTATGTTTCTCGCGGCTGCTGTGGTGTAAATGTAGGCTTCATAGATGGGGTAAAGAGCAGATGGAGCCGGAGGGTCGCGCAGCATTGCTGGTGCATCGCCGATGCCGCTCCATGTGGGACCCGATTTGCTTCACGTCGACGTTGCCAATGCCTCGCCCACGTCGACGACGCACCGCCGGTGCATCCCCAATGCATCGCCGGCCCCATATATTCCGACCCCATCTTGGACACCTCTATGTCCGCAGGCGTTGTCGTGCGCGCAAACACCTCTGGCTTGGTGACAGCACAACATGATGTTTTTCCCTTCCCACATTTTTCTCTCCTCGCAGAGCCCGGTTGTGCTCGCACGCTATTGTTGTGCTTGCGCGCCGCAGCGCTCTCACGCAATCATTTTGTTCACCGGAAGCGAAACAAAATGACAGAGGGGAAGCAGCGCAACTGAGTGGGGAGGAAACAGGCATTTGAAAACAATTTACATTATTCCATGCCTCGACGTGCCAGGGGGCACGGTGGCGCCAGCCTGGCCTGCTACCGTTTTGCTGGCCTGCGTATAATTACTCCTTGTGATTGCGCCGTTCCGCGCGCCCCCAGCCGCATTGTGCTCGCGGGCGCTGTGGTGCATGCAGATGACGCGGCGGCGGCTGCAGCGGTCCCAATATGATGTTCGCAGGCAGGGGTGTGCACAGAGGCAGCGCGGTGTACACAGGCAATGACGGCCAAAAACCGTGGGACCGCGCACCGGGCCACGAATGTCAAGATTCAACAAGTCAATAAGAATTGACAGATGGGTTTTGCTACGTTCGGGCCCCTGGCGGTGGCATGGTGTACGCGTGCGCTCAAGTGCTCGCGGCCGCTGTGATTGCTGTGCGCTCTGTTGCACGCGGGCTTTGCCTGCGGGGTGCACAGGCGTTGAGGTGCACGCGCACGGCTACAGCGGCACATGCGGAACCGAGTCTACGATGCACACGGTTCTTGTGGCGTGCGCGTGCCTTGTGGTGTACACAGGCGTTGTGGTGCACGCGGGCCTTGCGACGCAGGCACTCAAGCGCTCCATTTCGGTGCACGCAGAAATTGTGGAGTACGCAAGCATTGCGGTGTACACCGGACGCCTGCTGTGATGTACACAGGCGTTGTGGTGCGCACGCGCACTGCAGTGTACACAGGCGTTGTGATGCACATGTGTGCTCAAGTGTACACGGGCGCTTTGGTGTACACAATCGCTGCGGTGCGCACAGGCACTGCGGTATGCACCGGCGCTGTGTTGCACGGTTGCTCTGGTGTACGGTGTACCTCGGCTGCTGTGCACACAGGCGCTCTCGTGCACGCAGGCGGTGCGGTGTGCACCGGCGGTGTGTTGCACGCCTGTTGTGGTGCACGCAGGCGGTGCGGAGTGCTCAGGCGCCGGCCGTGCATAGACGCTGTGGTGTACGCGTGCCCTTCCACCCCCCCGCCCCCATCCCAATCGTCATCGTTACTCTTCCCCCCTTGCCCTCCGCCCCCCCCTTTGTAATGGACGTTACGTGCCCAGAATACAGAAACGCGTTCAAGGACATAGGTCCAGCTCCCCGACCTGTTTTCGACACTGGTTGCGGCGAAGACCAGCGTAACCAGTTGGGAGGCAGGCGGCAAGTTGCAGATCAGGGAACGGAGCGCCAAACTGCGCACCCACTCGAACCATTCCGATGTAGTGTCTCTTGCACGCACCGGAAGGCTGCGCAAATGGGCCAACGATTCCATTAGTTTAGCCCTTGCCGCTGCTGCGCGTAGGTGCGCGCAGCGCGGGGCATGGCGGCGTCGCGCCCTCGTTGGCGCCGGAGGGCGGGATGGCAGAAACACGCCGTGGCCCAGGATCGTCCTGCATGCTTCGGCGCGGCCGGGGGCAACTGCGCTCCCCGCACTGGCCTGCAGCCTGGCGCGGTGGCCTGCACAGCTGTTTACTTGCCAGCGTCCTGCCGCCGCTCTTCGAGTGCTGCGCGTCGTTGGAGAGGGGTGTCAGCCGCGCGTCTGGGCCGCCGTCCTGCGCCTCTGGTGCCACGGCTGGCGCGCGAGTGCGCCACTTGGTGGCGGCAATGGCCCCTGCCGCTCTGATTGCCGCGCAGGTCGGGACAGCCTTCGCCACCTAGCCTTCTGCCCGGTCGTGCGCGCCCTCCCCAGCGCCGCCTCTCCTCCAGCGGCGCTTGCCCTGGACTGGTTCCTGAATTTGGGAGCTGCGAGGCCAGATTCGGATGCCATTGCCCACTTTGCCATCCATATCTACCGCCTTTGCTGGGCGCACAATGCGCGTCAACATGGGCACCTGGAGGTCACAGACATCGCAGACGCCTACCCAATTGACAGAAGGTGTGGCTGCTCATGCTCGCTAGTTTCAACTGTTCCTCCCCCCTCCCCTACCCTCTGCATGTTCGGATTTTGTTGTAATTGGTTCGTCGTGGTTCGCTTGTGCACCAAATGTTCGCGAGGCTCTCCCTCGCTAGGCGCCGCCCTCTTTGGGCTCGGCCCGGGTGTTTGTTTTCTCGTCTTGTTTTCCTCCTCATCCTCCTCCGCGCCCTTCCTCCAGTGGCCTGTTCTGGTGTATTTTGTCCGTGGCCGCTTGGGTTACAAGGGCTTGCGCACAGCACGTGCCCATGCAGGCTGTTGCGTTTTCAGTGGGAACTCGTATCACTGGGCCCGTGGATTCTCTCATTTCTCCCCCCTTCCCCGGCATGTAGTGACGTTTGCCCGGCCGGCCATTATGGAGCGCTCGTAGGGTTCGGCGATAGCCCGCATGTAAGGGCAGTGGATTCACTTCTCGTAGGCGTTCGGAGTCAAAACTGTGTACAGGTCTCGTTGCGCGAAGAAAAACACAGTTGATATCACCCGCGATCGCCCATCGTCGTCGCCGACGGCCTCGAAGGATCGACGTTCGAAGATCGAAGTGAAGGTGCGCTGTGGGGGACCCTGGGTTTCTTTTGTATCCCCTGGCGAGAACTGCTGTTAGGGGGGGGGCGATGGGGGGGGGCGAGGAGGCTGGTAACGTTACGATTCGCGCCGGCGCTGTCTGGGAAGTAGCTACCCACAACAGTTCCCAGACGGCGCCGGCGCGAACCGTGACGCTACCAGATGGGTGGGGGAGTGGGGGGGCACTTTGGCCATGGCCGTTACAGTCAACCCGCAGTACCTTTGCATGCCTCCCCCCCTCTCGGCCCATCCTCGGCCGCTTTCGCTGGCCACGCCCCGCTAGCAGAGTGTCGGCGTGGCCTTCTGGGGCCCCTGCATCCTCAGCGCGCGTCCTTGGCATGCGGGCTGCCCGTGGCCCGGATCGAAGCAGCGCGCTCGTGGGAGGAGCCGTGGGCCCCCTAGTTCGGGGGCCACATGCGAGCCCGACCCCTGCCCCCCAAGTTTTTTCTGAGGGGGAGAGTGAGTGGGAGCTCCCGAGCGAAGTGAACCCCACCCCCCCCCTCAGAAGTCGTGGGGGGTAGGGGATAGGGCTCGCATGGGGCCCCCTACTTTCAGGAGGGGAAGAAACACACAGACACAATTAATCGTCGACTCCCAGGAAAATATGCAAAAATATGGGAAGTGGTGGGGAAGACAAAAACCCAGAAAATAGGGGAAAATAGGGGGGATATTTTTGTTTGTGTGTATTTATTTGTGTGTTCCAGTTCCCCTTCATTCTAGGCCTCCCCAGAAAACGTCGAGAACCTCTCTCAGAAGGCGCGAGGCCTTCTGAGAAGCCCCGGCGCTTCCTGAGGAGGCCTCCTCCTCGCTCGCCGCCGAAGCACGACGGCATGGGCGGCTGCCACGAGGTGATCGTTTTCTCATCCGTTGTTCTGCCAATCGGCGCGGGCCCTCGTACCCCCCCTCCCCCCCCCTCCATGGAGTAGATCTTGGCTGTTTTTGGCGCCTGTTTCGAGTAGATAGAGCCCCTTCACTACTTGTGTGCTCGAGGCTTGCGGGGCACCGCCCGCTCCGCCCGCACTCGCCCCGCCAGCGCCGGCGGGGCTGCGCGCCAAGGGCCTGCGCGCGGGCCCGCCGTGGGCGGGCGCCGTCCGATGGGAGCGGCCTGCGGCGCCGGCCCGGCGGAGGGCGGGGCGGAGCAGGAGCTGCCAGCGGGTGCGGAAAAGAGGGGGGGGGAACAATCACGACGGAAGGTTTTTCGCTATTTTCGCCCTCTGGAGGTCCTCACCGGGCCTCAGGACCGTCAAAAAACGACTCGGGATGAAAAACCGGTCCCGGGGAAAGGGTCCAGACCTCTGGGGGTCGACGTTGTGAAAAAATCACGACGTCGGGGGTCTGGGTTCGGGGGCGGCACAGAGGGCGGTGATGACTGAGGGGGGGGGGATATCATGGCGGGGGCCATGATGTTTCCCCAGGTTTCATGGCGCCTCTTCCTATTTCATTACGTCCCTGGCCCCCCCGCTGGGCCGCGCACGTGCCGCCGGTCATGGTTTGCACCCCTCTCTTTTGGACACCCCCCTCTTGGCAGCAGGAGCTGCCATGAAGATCGATCGGGGGTGGACAGAGCCCCCCACAGTGACGCGTCGATTAGTGGATTGTCCGTTTTCGGTTCTCGAGGGGGCGTCGTGGCCGTTATTTTCCAGGCTTGCGCCCGCCAGGTTTGGGCCTCAGGTCGTTTTCACTAAACCACGTTTTACTAAAGGGGGGTCTGTCCATCCGCGAATCGAAGAGAGGCAGGTGCCTAAAATCAGGCGATCGCGAGCGTGGATCAAGGGGGCGTGGATCAGCGACGGGTCCCGCTTCCAGGGAGACTCGCGGATTTCCGCCGCCGAGCGAGGCGGCACCGGCCCTATTTGAGGGAGGGCACCTTTCCCGATCCGTGGATGTGGCGACCGCGCGTCGAATCCATGGATCGCTATAGTCCATGCTTGCGCGCCGCCGATAAACATAAGGCTTGGGGAGGTCCGCGCGGATGTTTTGGATCGGCGCCTGGGTGTACACCTCAGGCGATGCTCAAGAAAACTTACATTTTCGGCCAGAGTCTCGATTATTCTTAATGTTTCAATTGAATTCCTAAGATTGTTATAGAAATTCTGGGTTTTATTACAATTCTGAGACTATGAATTTCTTAACCCATGATTTCTTAAGCATTTCGCAGGGCGTACGTTCTTTAGTTTGTAGTTCTGTCGTATCTTCCACTCTGCCACGAAGACCTGGGCGGGCAGATTTGCGCCGTTGCTGTGCGCTCCGTGCGCGCCGAACTTCAACGTTTATGGGTATCTCAGAGTTGGGCGACCATATTTTTTCTATACGTGTATGTCTATATATATACACAAGACTGCAGTGGCGCTTCGCGCCATGCACCCTGGTTCTTGAATATTGGTATGCAGGCGGAAATGGCAGGAAGGTCAAGCGGACAATTTAGCGATAACTCCTTGCTGCCTTTTCTGGCATCGCCGTTGTAATAATGTTGTTCGTTATCCTTCCTCCATGCTTATTTTTCTTCATTCTCGCCATACCCTGGGCATTCTCCCCATCCTCCTCAGCTCTTTTGGCGGAGGCTCCTCCTTGGAGAGCCTCTGGGGGCCTCGCCAAAGTTCTCATTTTTTTTTTGACTTCTGGAGGCCTCATGGGCGTGTTCTGGGGGCCTCTGGGGCTTCCTGAGGCCAACCTGCCTCGAACCGCGGTCTCCCTGAACGGCCCGGTCACGATTTGCAATGCTTCGGAGGGTGTCTTGGGGCCATCTTGGGCCGCCATGGGGCTCTTTTAGGGCCATTTTGGACCCCTGTTGTGCCGTTTTGGGGCTCTCTTGGACTGCCTGGAAGCCCTTTCGGATGGTTGTGGGGCGATTTTGGAGCCCTCCAGGCGACTTCGGACGCCCAGAAGACCGCTGTCTTGGAGCGTCGGGAAGCCGAAAAAAGGAGAACCCCAAATTCACAAAAAACCTATATTCAATCAATGATTTTTCCCTCTTGGGGCCTTCTTGGGAGTGCTCTTGGAGGCCTCTTGGTACGTTGTGGGGCGATCTGTCGGGGTATGACGGCTTCTTGGAGCGCTCTTGCGCTGTCTTGGGGTTCTTTGGGACGTCTCCGATGACCCCTTGATCGCCCTAGATGTGCTGCGAAGGCTTGGCAAAACACCCTGCGAGGCCCGGGGGGGCGCTTCGAGGCCCGTCCGAAGGGTCCCAAAGCCACAGATCCCGGGAGTCCGAATATATATATATATATATATATACACACACACATACATACATACATGTATATAAGTAGGGAAGATATTGAAAGCACGAGTTACAAACACTGAACTCGCGAGTATACACTTTTTTATCGTGGTTGTACGTATACCACCCATGCAAAATTATGAACTCGCGAGTTATTTTTCGATCTGTATAAAAATGGTTATGGGAATGTTTATATATTTACAGTAGGATGTAAACTATTACATTTCCGCGTTGCTTCCGATACAGAAAGTACACGTTTCTGGAGTAGGAAGTATTATTCCCAGAAGTTAATAGGAAATGCCCACCCTCTTCCTCAAGCATTTGGCTTCCAGGCTCCAGGACTAGTTTGAGATCATCGAATTACCAGATAAGGTTTTTCGAATTTCAAGCCGGGAGACGAATTTCGCGGCAGAGCGCCGGTAGAGCACTGGAAAGGAAGAGGAATATGAAGCATCCATCCTTAGTCTATCCGTTAAGATATACAGATTAGTTCGACACCGTTCTGAGATAGTAGAATCCGTATCCAGGCTCAAGTTTGTTCGGCAAGCACTCGTGCTCATTCACCATACCAATCGTACTTCTGGTCCGCTCCGGGAGAGGGTACATATTCGAGAATGATGTTGATTCTCAGATTCATCCTTATTGCTCAGGCTTTCTATTGCGGGGTCCGCCTGTGCAGGGGGGAAGTCTATACATATATATATATATATATATGTACATATATATATAGGTTTACATTGACGTCCACAGCATATTCGTTTCATTTTACAAGCCGACTACAAACATAATGATGAAGGCAGTTGGCATTTACGTTTTGTACGCCAGTAAGTATTACCGTATTTCGATTGGTTTTTGTTATTCGCATGTATGGAGAACGATTTAGAGATCGACACATTTTGGGATGATGTAGTAACACGAGCTGGTTCGCGAACAACAACTAAGTCATATCCGAATTAACTTCAATTCGTAAACTTTAAAGAATAACATCCTTAATTGCAGGGAAATGTCATTCGAGGTACATGGGCGCTTGGATTGCAATGCTACTATACGGGTTTGCAATATTTGCGGTAAATGCTCCTGAACCGTAATTTATTGAAGGGTTCGTTCGATGTCGGATACGAGAGATTTGACGCAGCAGACAGACTTGATGACATAAGTATGCGAACTCATGCCCGATCGTGTTGTTAAGAGCCAGTGCAACAAACTAGTGAACAAATCGTGGATCCATAGTCCAGTTGGTGAACGTGGCCAAAACGAAAAGATGAGATAACCGACGCTATTTCACAGGATTCGCCGTCACATGTTCCACCAGCATATAAGTAAGCACGCAAAAAACGCAACCATATACCAACAGCAAACACTATTTGATGCAACCGTCATCTGTAGAAGTGTTGACAGGCGAGCCATCATGATACGTGTGATGCCGAAGCATGAATTGGATCGTGTTTGGACAATTCATGTGATATGGGAGCATTTTTGAAGTTAGCGCAAGCAGAAACATGACGTACGATATAGCTGTATATATTTCTCAATATCGCACGGGAGAGGGAAGGAATATTCTGGGACGTTCACCGTAAGCACATTTCAAACATTCATTATTATCAATGTTGTTCACACAACGCATTTTGTAGACAGTTTTCTGGACTCTTTGAATTCAAGACAACAGCATCAACATGATTTAAAGACGTGTTGCGATCTTCTGTCCGCGAGATTCCTATATAACACACCGCGCTACAAAAGTATAGCTCTTCAAGTGCATGACGGATTGACCAAGGTCTTTGTTTTTGTCGGTCGCGTCGTCACATAACACCAGGTCACTCCACCATGCAATGGGTTTTTAAGTCAAGAGCCTGACAAGAAGTTGTATGGCTTGTGTCGGTAAGAGTGATTCTTGCAGACGGGATTGCATGCCGGGAACTCACGTTTGCAAACCGCACACGGAGACGGCGCACATCAAGAAAGCATCAACAAAACATGTCAGAGTATTTCGAATCACTGAAGTATAAGACATATCTGGTATATGATGTTGGTTGGGCTCTCGCGGTTGGCCGTTTGATGCCTTTGGGGAGGCAGTTTTGATGCCTCTTGGGGGCCGTGTTGGGGCTTTTGGGGGCCTTTTGGGAGGCCCTTGGGGCTTCTTGGGGGCCTGTTGGGGCCTCCTGGGGGCCTCTTTGGACTGAAGGCTGGACTTTATGGTTCCTGGTCACCTTCTTGGGCCCCTCTTGGGGCCGTTTTGGAGCTCTTTTAGGCCGTGTTGGGCGCCTCTTGGGTTGTTTTGGGGCCTTTTTGGGCCGTCATCGGGCTGTTTTTGGGTCCTCCTGGACCCTCTCGGGGCGATCTTGGGAACCTCCTAGGCCATCTTGGAGCGTCGGGAAGCCGAAAAAGGAAAAACCAGACAATGTGTCCAAAACCTTGGGAAATTCCATGAATGTTGCCTCTCGGGGCCCTCTCGGGAGTGCTTTTGGAGGCCTTTGGGGGGCGTCTGGAGGCCATAGTGGGCGTCTTGGAGCGATCCTGTGGCATCGCCGGCCGATTTTCTGAGGATTCCCAGGGCTCTCGACCGTCTGGGCGCTCTTTTGAGGCCTCTTGGGCGCCTCTTGGGCCGTCTGGGGGGCTTCCGGCATCTCTGACGGGCACTTGCCGGGATTTTGGCGGGGTGCTTGTCGCGTCGGGGCCCCCAGGGGCTGCCTCGCGCGCGCGAACTTGTTACCAGAGATCTTAGCAAGCCTCCGGCCCGTTGGGCCGGCGAATCGTAGAATATTTTTGGGGCCGCCTTGAATTCACACATAACATTTTATTAATGCGGCTGTATTAAATTCAGCAGTGTGAACAATATCGTAATGCCAGGTTTCTTTCAATGCGCGTGTTGAGATATGTGTAATGTGCCAATAATTCATCATTTGTGCTTTCGATGTTGCGTCG